TTGTTAATATCAGTTACATTAATAGCAATGTAATTTAGAGTCCATGTTTTGTTTGTTTGTATAGGATACAGAAATTATTTAATCAATAAATTTTCTTCATAATATTAGAAAGATATAAAGTATATTTTAAGTCACCTCAATCACGAATAACTTTATCACTAATAACGTATGCACTCATAACTTTTTATTTGTTTCAATCTGTCTAGAATTTGATGGTCTTAACTTTGGCATTAATTCTCCTGTCTCCTCGTATAGTTATCTGTAAGGCTTGGATTTCACCAATGTACAGTGGCATTGATGCTATTGTTCACAATTTTAAACCTCAGTTTATTAAATTTGCAGAGTACCAGTAGACCCACACATATAGAATTTTTAAACTTAATAATTTATTAGAATAATTTTTACCTCCGTATTAGTTGAATGCTATGCAATGTACTTTAAATTAGACGTATATCATTATTGCAGTGAAAAAAAAATCTAGTTAATCTGTCGCGAGTCACACTTTCATTTTTAGGGCTAATGTAGCAAAAGTATAAAAATGACACAGGCCACATGATATTTCTAAAAGGTGGATACAAGTTTATAAAATGTGAACTAATAGCTGAAAAAAGTTTTACTTGTATTTTTATCTGGAAAAATTTCTTATATTGAATCGCTTAGAAACACTTATGGAATAATTCTGCATATGCTACTTTTAGAAAAAAGTAGTATTATTACACTTTTTGGATATCATTTTCATGAAGACAGACCCTAAAACTTCACATCTACGTAGTGCTATAAAATTTGATCTCATGACTCTGAAACACATTTAAAATACAATAAAGGCAAACACACACCTGGATGAGGACTTTTAAGGCTGTTAATGGTTTGGTATTTGACAAATTGTTACTAAAATAAATATTAACACTCATTATTTGATTGAGTATAAAATAAGTGTTATTTAAGTTAAAGTAAAACCTCACATAAACCACTTTAATAATGATGCAAGAAATCATCTTTTAAGGGAGTTCTAATGATCAAAACCTATCCTGTTGTTGACGGAAAAAATCCACTACTAAGTTTTAAATGAATGCTAACAAAGGAGTTTAATCTTTATTCTTCATGTTTATGAGGCCTGCTTCTCAAAATTTCTTCCTTTATATTCCATCTTGGTTTCCCAATTTCTGATTTTCTGAATATACAGAAGTGTAAAAAGGCTCGGTGGGTGTTATAAGTGTTCCAGAAACCTAAGATGTCAGGTTCTTATGTGTCACAATATGTGCTTATTACTCACCGGGGATGTTTGAGGCTCCTTATTTTTCAACAACACTTGAAATATAGCCTTAGGACTTTTCTTTAAACTGTCTGAATGTTTATCTTTCTTGGAATAAAGACAGCTTACTGATAATTACTTAATGAGCTATTATGAATGGTCTACTGACAGAGATGTCCTCCCAATAATGTTTTTTAGCTGTGGGAGGGTGGAATGTTTGTTAGACATTTGACTGGAATAGGTGGAGGAAGCTAAGAACTTGTCAGAGGATCTAAAGGCCTGGCCAGCAGGACATTCTGAGCTCCAGGTTTCAGAAGGGCTGCCATACCTCCGAAAGCAAGGGTCCTTCCCCCCTTCCCCTAAAGTTAGCCATGAATAAAAACTAACTACCTAAATAGAACAGATGAAATCTGGGCTTTAGAAAAACCAAGCCCCATCCCTGTTTACAGCAAGCATAAAACCAGATTTCTAATCCTGGGAGGCACAATCACCTATTGATTGCCAGGACATCTGTGCCCTTGTGTTTGGAAGCAGGCTTTTCTGCCCAGGCAGGGCTGGAAAAGCCTACCATCTTGGCCCCCCTGTAGCATAAACAGCTGACGGGACTCTCAGGAAGGAGTCTTGCAACCCACGCCTTGGCTTACACCTTTCTCACCTATGGATGGACCCAATTACAAGTCCCCCCTCCCGCCTTCGGAAGTTCCTGAAAATGCAATCTACTAAGAAGCAGCAGCGTGTATGGAACTGATGCGGTACCCTCTAGCAGACAAAGGGGGAAATGCTTTGTGCGCCACCAAATACAACCTCCTCCACCCCAGGCCCTGAGTGAGTCAGAGCACCGGAGGCTGGGACTCAGTTCCACTGTGGAGCAGGACAATGACCTCAAAGATCAGCGCTCCCTAACCCCTTTCTTACCCTAGCGCGTTCCTCCGGATAAAGTCTCTTAAATATCGCACACTTGGAGGTGGAGGGGGGAAGGGTGGAGCCGGGGGGGGGGGGGGGGGGGGGGGGGGGGGGGGGAAAGTGGGGAGGTTGCTGAGTTAGTCTTGAGGGCAGGCAACACTTCAGTCCAGGACCAAGTCTGCGGCTCCCTGCCTGACTCCGAATAGTCGCCAGTTGCAGGCGGTGGAGCCCAGGCGGGGACTCTGACCGGGCTGGGGATGTCCTGGGATGGGGAGAGTGTGTGCAGTGTTGAGTATTGGGGGAACAGAGTGGGCACACTGACAAGCTGAACTCAAAACCGCCCTTCTACCCCCAAAACAGGCCGCGGAGCAGCCCGGGCACAAGAGAATGCAGGCTCGTTTCCGCTCTCACTTCTCAAGTTCACACTCAAGTTCAACCCCTGATTCCCACAAGACATCTGAGTAGTCTGGACCCTTTTCTCAACCCATCCTTAAAGAACAGCCCCGATGGCGCAGGAGGGCAAGGTCTGCAGGAAACACACAGCGATGGCAGAGGAGAGATGGAAAGGGGTCAAAGAAGGAGAGACCAGGAGAGCGAGAGAAAGATCCCGCCGCCACCTTTTAAGCCTGTTTCTATCGCCATCGCTCGCCACCAAGCCCCTGGAGAGCCGCCTTAAGTTAGAACCTGACAACGCTCCTGGGCGCCTGGCCCGGGTGGCGCCCTCTAGAACTCGGGTGGGGCTGAGACTGGGTCCTCCTGGGGAGCACGAGGCTGGCGCCCAGCTTCCCACCCTTCAGGCTGCTTGGTCCCCAAAGGGAAGCCGGATTGGACCCAGATCCTCCTCGCTGGCCCAGTGCTCCTTCAGGAGCAGCACGATCCAGCTCCATCCACGCCCGCCAATCCCACACTCCTGTTTTCTGCAGCTTAAGGGGACAGTGAGTGGCTTGTCTGCCCCAGGTACTAGGACCCAGTCTGAACCGAGGTGGCGGGTGGTTTTGGACCTTCCACCGGAACATCAGAACCCAGCCCCGGGAAGGAGGAGTGTTGGAAGGGGAGGGGAACAGAGGGGCGAAGTAGCAGAGAAAACTAAAGGGGAGGAGATGGGGATAAGATGGGACAGAAAAAGAAAAAAGAAAAAAGACGCGTTTTCTGAAAGAGTTTGGACAGTGGAACATGTGTTCAAGCCCCCAACTGGGGCACTAAACTGGAACCAGCTCGCACTCAGGGCCCCCCCACTCCCGGTGGGGGAATCAGTCAAGACCCTCCTGCTAGGACACCCCTGTTTTTTATCTCCAGCCACCTTCCTCGCCCTCACCTCCCTATGCACCCTCTCCGTTCCTCCTCCTCTTTTCCTTGCTTGCCACAGTGGTCTAGCCCACTCTCCTGTCCTGAGCGTCCAGGCCTGGGCTCACCCCATTCGGGGTGGGGATGGGAGAGAGGGGTGCACACAGCCCCTCAATGCTCTTCCAGAGAGGTGTTGGGGTAATGGGTGGCAGGCGAACACAGCCCAGTGGGAAGCTATGAGTGTTTACAGACGACCTCTCCCAAGGTCTTCCTGCCTCCCCCACCTGCCAAGGGGTCAGGGAAGTAGGAAGGTCCCATCCCATCCCAAGAGAGTTGGCCATTTCCAACTTTCTGTAGCCAGAACCAGGAGGGACATGTGCGGGGGAGAAGAGATGACCCCTCTCCTTTCCAAAGAGTGGCCAGAGAGAAAAACTGGGGGGCTTGGGGCTTGCATGCCCCAATTCCTAGGGCCCAGCCGGAGCCGCACAGATGCCCGCAGCACGCGGGCACCCGTCCTGCTCTCCCTCCGAGGAAAGAGCGAAGTTGTGGCCAAGTGGAAAGTGGAAGCGAGTGGGTCCGGACACATCGCGCAGAAAACCTGCAGGTCCGTCACCGCAGGGGAGGAGAGGAACACAGGGGCCCCCGAAAGCCGGCCAGGGGAGCAGCCCCAAGTGCAGCCGGAGCACCGGGCGTCTGGTCTCCGTGCCCAGCGCGCCGCCCGCTCGTCCCGGGGATCCGCAGCCCGGGGCGCGGCCGGGGGTCTTGGCCCCAGCACTGCCGCAGCTCCAGCTCCCACAGCCAGCGGGCCTCTGACAAAGAGCCCTTCCCACCGCGGGTGACGCGGGCTCTCCTGTCCTCTGGAACTTTCTCCGCAGAACTTTTTGTCGGGGTGGCGCTCGTCCCTGGTCTGCGCGAGCTCGAGCACGCGGACCCGGCCTGGGCGCAGCAGACGCGCGCTGGGGACCATCCCCGAACCCGTATCCCTGCCCCTCTCTTCCTACCACCCCCAGGAAGGGACGCCTCGGCCGCCCGGGTCGCTGGGGTGTTCTGTCACCTAAAGGGGGTGTGTGTTCGCGCTCTCCCACCCCGCCAGCCGCGGGTGCGCCCCGCGCGTCCCACCCACCCTGGCCCGTGACCGCCGCGCGCGCCGGACGCTTCCAGCCGCTCCGGGGGAGCACCTACCCGCTCCCGGCTCTTTCTCCATCCCGCGCCCGCTTCCGTCCCGGAGAGCTACCTGCAAACGCGTCCAGAGCAACTCCAGGGCTGGGAAGAAGCATCTCGAGTCGCTCCGCTCCCCTCTCCAAAAAAGCGCCCTCCCGCGCCCCTCCAGAACTCCCAAGAGGCAACAACCACCACCGTCCTCCCCACAACTTTCCGCGCCCGGGCCATCCGTAGCCCTCCTGAGAGCACCCAGTCCGCACTCCGTCCTGCCACCCTCGGACCCTTCGGCTGGCTGGGTGCACGCCCCTAGCCCGGCGCCCCGTCCGGCTGGAGCGGTGGCGGGACCCGTGCGGCCCCGGTGCCCAGAGGAGCCTCGGCGGCCGCGGGCTCGCGCGCTTACCTCGCATGGTGTGGCCGCTGCTCTCCCGCTCCGCGTAGGCATGAAGCTGCTCCCAGCCCGCACCCCGGAGAGCCCCCAAATCCTGCTCAGCACGAGGGAAGAAGAAGGTGGTTGGCGAAGAGCTGCTCCGCGGAGAAAACCATTGAGGCGGGCGCTGTGGCCGGAGGGTGACGTTGGCTGCCGCCGCCGCCGCCGCCGCTGCTGGGTTAACAGTTTTGATGATGGTGCTGATGACTGTTTGGGTGGTTGTTTGGTTGTTTGTTTGTTTTCAGGAAGGGTGGAAAAAAATAAATGTGCTGCCTGGCTGGTGCCTGGGTTTTGTTTTGCTTTTGTTTTGTTTTTTTCTTTTTTTTCCCTTTCTCTCCAATGTGCTTGCTTTAAAAAAAAAAAAAAATGCCACCGCCTCCGGCTCAGAAGATTTCTTTTGTGATCACTTAGACTGAAGAGGAGGAGGAGGAGGAGGAGGTGGAGGAAAGGGCAGCGGCAGGAGGAGGAGTTGGTGGTGGTTTTGTTAGTTACAAAGACCAGGGAGAGAAGAATCAAAGGGGAGAGAGAGAGAGATAAAAAAAAGAGGAAATAGAAAAGAAAGGAGGTGTGGATAGCAGAGCATGTGCGTTTTCACATGACATCTGTGCCTGTTAGCGGATCCACGATGTGAATGTTCACTGTTCGGTTCGAGGGAGGGAGGAAGGGAGCGAGAGAGAAAGAGAGAGAGTGGAGGGAGATGGAAAGAGGGAGCCCAGAAGGGGCTTATACGCGGGGGCGGGTTTGGCCGGGACTCCCAGGCCCCGCCTCCTGTCAGCGCCGTGGCCAATCAGCGGCCGGGAGCGCTCGGAGGGGCGGGGACCGCGGGGGAGGGGACCCGCAGGGCGGCGAGGGGCGGGGGTTCAGGACGCCGGAGCTGGAGGCGGCCAAGGCTGGACATGGACATCAGAGACCGTCCTAACTGGGCAGAGGATGAGAAGGACCCGCAGAGCGAGGCGGGCCGATGTGCATGCAGGTGACATTCACTTACTTTCCCAGGAGGAGGGAGAGGACGCTGGCCGGCCCTTCAGAGGCGAGAGGCAGGGGACTCTCCAGGTCCCACAGTTGCTTCCCTCTCTGGCAAAGCCTGCGGGCCTCCTCAGAGAGTTAGTTTTGGATTTATGGTAGCGCTCTGCAGAGTCCTTTTTCTGTTAACCCCTCCTCCTGTCTGGCGAGGGTTTCCAGGGCAGGACGCTTCAGCTACAGTGGTAGAATAATGCAAATCAACTTTCCTCACTTTGAGCTCCACCAAAATGCAGTCCTATGCGAGTACCAGTCTGATCCCTTTAAAAATCACTTTTTTTTTTTCAGATGCTTCCTGCTCCCAAACTTAAAAACAAGCAAAACTAAAGTACTGAGATCTCTTGTGTTTTTAAAGATAATTGAAGATTTTAATGCTTTCTTTAATCAAAGGAATTGATTTGTGTTAGCATTTGGAGAATCTCCTAGTGTTGGGCTACATGACTCAAGGATAATAGCCCCAGTTTGCAGGTGTAGCTACCTTAGTGAGAAGGCAAAAGGCTGAGGCCAGAAGGTCTGATCACGTGGTGCTGTTTATTTGATCCTGGTGCAGGGCTTTAGGAGGGAGGAATTGCTCATTGTAATTGCTCTGAGAAGACATTTACCAATTTAGAGGAGATTGGCAATTACATTTAAGTAAAGTTATTTGTATTCCTTAGGTCAGTGGTCAGCAAACTCATTTGTCAACAGAGCCAAATATCAACAGTACAAGGATTGAAATTTTTTTGAAAAGACAAATTTTTTTTAAAAACTTCAAGTTCTTCTAACACCATTTCTTCAAAACAGACTGGCTCAGGCCGTGGTATTTTGTGGAAGAGCCACACTCAAGGGGCCAAAGAGCCGCAAGTGGCTAGAGAGGGGCAGTTTGCCTGCCATGGCCTTAAGTAAATAGATAAAAACTGTTCCTTTGCAAGTTTTCTTCTTTCATTGGACAAAACAAACATATCGTACAGATAATCACATCTACTTTCTACAATTGGAAACTTTGTAAATACTTTGGTGAAATGGTCATCCTCAAAGACAGATAAAAATATTTGCTTCATGGACTCAGTCTTAAGGAACTGAGGCTTCTACTCAATGTACCTGTTAGCAGAGCAGGCCTCATCATCATTTAGGTTCCCATATAATTTGATTCTTACTGCTATTTATTCATATTATGTCATGTAAAACAAAATGCAATGTAGAATTGGTGATTATTCAGTTAATTAGATCACTCTAAACTGCTAAGTAGTTCATTACCTACCCCAATTAAATAAAAAAATGGATTACTTGCTGAACCTTCACTAGTGTTAAACTGACTTAGCCTGGCAAATGTGTAATTTAGGAAAATTTTAGTATTAAGAATGAAAGTTGATTAAGTCTTTAATTAAATGAAATGAACAAAAGGAAGTTACTGTTCAGAATAGTTATTCCCTTATAAATACCTTTCCCCTAGATTTGTAATTGACGCAGTAGTTAATCTTTTAGGATAATATTTAAGGCTCCCTGGTTTTATCATTTTTAATCAAGTAAAATAGATGCATCATAACTGCATTAAAGCTGTACTAAGTTATGCCTAATTTAGTTACTTCATTAAAAATTACTGAATATAAAACAGTTAAGAAACAAATTGTGACTGCATTATTTTAATTTTATGTGCTTCAAGAAGACCCAGGCATATTTAAAATCCCAAAGCCTTTGTAAACACTATAATTAATATTGTCATTATTTTAGCATTTTATTTCTCATTTCAAAATTCAACAATTTAAACTCATTAATTGTCTTAAGTTTCTAAACATTTATTGAATTCTAAAATTTCTTTTGACTGCTATATATCTGTAATTCCTAAATAGATAGTGATGCATATATGAAATTACTTTTCCCTTCTTTGGTACATTGTTATATGTTCTTTGCTTTGTGGGTTCAACAATGGCATAATTTTACTTAGAAACATATCACATATTTTCTTTTTTAAAATATATTTTATTGATTTTTTACAGAGAGGAAGGGAGAAGAATAGAGAGCTAGAAACATCGATGAGAGAGAATCATTGACTAGCTGCCTCCTGTATATCCCCTGCCGGGGATGTGCCCAAAACCAATATACATGCCCTTGACCAGAATCGATACCGGGACCTTTCAGTCCACAGGCTGACACTCTATCCACTGACCCAAACCGGTTTTGGCTTTTTTTTTTTTTTTTTAAATAAAATATATTTTATTGATTTTTTACAGAGAGGAAGGGAAAGGGATAGAGAACTAGAAACATCGATGAGAGAGAACATATCACATATTTTCTAATCCCCCTACTTTTGAAAAAAATGTAATTAGAGATAAAGACTTAATTATATTTTATAATTTTTCAAAGGAGCATATATATTGAGTGATAATATATAACTATGTTTTATATATATATATATATACACATATATATATATAATCGTTTTCTCTTTTATAATAAATAAATGTTGATCATTGATTATAATGTGGTGATCTGAGACTTTTTGGATCATTCTAAAAGTTTAGAAAACAAGTTTTTTAGCATTTCCAATAATTTCAAAATTGTTTCAACTGAATGGAATAAAAATTTAGTTATATAAAACAAATATTCAGGATGTAAATGAAAGAAGTCAGCTTTCCCCAAGAAGGCTTAAAATATTTAGGTATAATCTGTTGCTTTTGTAACCTACCTGCCAGGAAACATCCATATTTCAAATGGCATAACAATAATATATTAATATAATGTTCTTGTTCACATGAGTACAGTGCCAGCAATTTTTAAAAAATATATTTTATTGATTTTTTTACAGAGAGGAAGAGAGAGGGATAGAGAGTTAGAAACATCAATGAGAGAGAATCATCAATCAGCTGCCTCTTGCACACCCTCTACTGGGTGGGGATATGCCTGCAACCAAGGTGCATGCCCTTGACCGGAATTGAACCCGGGACCTTTCAGTCTGTAGATCTACACTCTATCCACTGAGCCAAACCGGTTTTGGCCAGTGCCAGCAATTTTATTTGAATGATTATAGAACTGTTCGGTTTCCTGTAAGCTTGTAACTCCACTTTTGGCTCTGGGCTTGAAGGACGTTCTAAATTTTGATAAATTAAAATGCAAATCATTAAGCCATGTCACTCTGTACTTAATCTCAAGGAAAGATATAAAGTAGAAGGTCTTGCTGGCTTAACCTGCTTTCACCATCCCTCAGATTTAGCTGTAAGGCCACAGAGTAATAATGACCAGAAACATTCTGTGGACACAAAGGTTAGGGTGACCAAGGCATTTATAATAGGATTATGTTGACCATGAAATGCTTGAACCAAAGTACGAAGAAATGGTTCACTATGTTTTGAGCCAGTCTATACATAGAAACCATTTAAAATGGTTATGGATCTTGGAGTCACATTGGCAATATTCATAACAAAATTACATTTAGAATAAGTAAAAGATTTAATGTTTTTAGCTCAATTTAGGAGTATGTCACTGTGAAAGTTGAAGAAAAGGTATAAAGCTATCTTTAAATACCTTCCTGGAAAAGCCAGAAAAAATATGAGAGCTTTTAATGTCGGACCCTATTAAAAATGGGAAGGGTGAAATTCCGAGAGCCCCGTTGCTAAAGGCATCCAAAAAAAGGGTGAAATTGCCTGGCTAGTGGTTGAGCATTGACCCATGAACCAAAAGATCACAATTCAATTCCAGGTCAGGGTACATGCGCTGCTTGTTGGCTCCATGCCCAGCAGGGGGTGTGCAGGAGGCAGCCAATATATGATTCTCTCTGATCATTGATGTTTCTATCTCTCTCTCCCTTTCCCTTTCTCTGAAATCAATAAAAACATATTTGGAAAAAGAAAAAGAAAAAGAAAAGGTGGAATGAAAGACAAGTATAGAGATTTCTCTGCTAGGCAGAACACTGTCTAGATCACCTCCAATATCTTCTGTAACATCTGTATTCACACGTAGGCTACTATCACGACCCCAGCAGCTGCTGCAGAGCTAGTGCTTCATACTTTGGAATGCAAGCTTCACAAGAGCAGGAGACAGGACTTCCCTATAGAGTCTGGAAGAGTATCTGATACTTCAGTCATTCAATAATTATTGGTTGGATGAATGCTTTCTACTCTTGTCCACTGTGAACCAGAAATATAATAAAGATCTGAATAAGATCCTTTCTTCTTAGTTTCTTTCTTTTTTTTTTTTAATATATTTTATTGATTTTACACAGAGAGGAATTGAGAGTGATAGAGTTGGAAATGTCGATGATAGAGTTACATCGACCAGCTGCCTCTTGCACACCCCCTACTGGGGATGTGCCCGCAACCAAGGTACGTGCCTTTGACCGGAATCGAACCCGAGATCTTTCAGTCCTCAGACCGACGCTCTATCCATTGAGCCAAACCGGTTTCGGCTCTTCTTAGTTTCCAATAGAGAAAGAGAGAGTGAGAGCGAGAGCAAGAGCGAGTTGAGCTTTTTTTTTCATTTTAAAACTTTTAATTTGGGGAAGGAAACATATTTGAGTTTGGATAAAAAAATTACAAAGAAAAGTAAAATCTAGTTATTTTAATATTTATTACTATTCTTAATTTATTCCAAGATGAAGAAACTTTATATCTTTCATGGTTTAAGTTCTGATTCATACTTTAAAAAGTATGAATACAAATTCAAAAACTTTTCAGAATGA